GACAAAAAATCATTAAATTTTCAGATTAATTTCATCTCATATAAATTATTATATATATTGTAATATTATAGTATATTGTATTGCATATATAAATAAAATATTTAAAGTATCAATAATTATAAAAGTTAATTTATTTTCTTGCTGAAATAATATTCAAACGTTTTTTATATCCAGTTAATTTTTACCAGAAGATAATATATATATATATATATATATATACTTATAAATTGTGATAAAGATAATTATTTTATAACTTTTTAAATAATATCTTTAATTCTTTCTTGTCTAATTTTATTCCTAAAATTCTTGTAGTATATAATTCACATCACATCCAAATGTATAGCAAATAAAACTTCAATTACAACAATTGTATTATTTTCTTTGATCATATTCTTAGTTTAATAATTCACAAATCAGTAAATATTCCTATTGAGATATTGGCCATGAATGATTTGAAGCTCTTCCTAATGTCAATCTCTTTTGCTATCCCATTAGGAGTTGAGAGTAACCATAGGATATAGACTTGGCTGTTACCTATGTGTTCCCCATAAATGTAATGGGTCGCGAAAGATTCAGATTCTACGACATGGTTTAACCTGTTTATATTCTAAAGGCGGTGGTCATAGAGCTATTAACTCCGTAATCTCGAACAAATTAAGGTTAGTCAACTACCATGACCTTGTGAAACTCGTCCACTTATCCATGTCTGATGAAAAAAGACTAAATGGGCTCATAAACAGTCTTTGGTTTAGAGGAAAATACCTTATTTGAGATTTCACTTGTGTCTCCAATTTTTTTTTAACTCAAATTTTGAACCGCTTATTACAACTGAAAGGTCAAACAAAAATTAGAATAATTTTTTTAAGATTTTAGGTAAAAAAAAAACTTCTCAAATTAATGATGATCATGAATCCTTTTTCAATGTTACAATCAACTAAAAATTGTGGTATTTCGAGGCAACTCTCTTGGTTTCCTCTTATCTCAATAAGAGCCTTTTTTTGCGCGCCCCTTACCTTCCAATGTTTTTTAACTTATTTTTATCCTTTTTAAATTGTTTACCTAATTTTTTTAAAAAAATATTTTTTTTATTTTCATATAGATTTGTAGATCATGCTATTTTTTAGAAAAAATAAAGAAATCATCAACAAATATATTATATTATTATATTATACATTATCTATAATATAAAAAAATTGTAAAATAAATTTTCACATAAAATGAAGTACTCTTAAGTATAATAAAAAGGAATCTAAGTAAAATGATAAAGTTTTTATATTGAAAATAAAATAAAGAACTATGTTTTATGTTTTGAATAATTTACATGTTTTCTTATATTAGATTTTATATATCTTTAGAGGCGTCACTAACCTTCACAATCTCAGGGGGGCTCAACTAAAAAAAATTTATGGGGGGTGCTGCCCCTATACTAGTATTGTTAAACGGCTCGTTTTGAGCCGATTTTTAAAACGGCCAACTCAATATTTTAGCCAGAAAATTATTACCTAAGCCTCGAGATTTCGCTAATAGATGTCCAAATCTTTGTTCCTTCCATATCTTCAGGCTTGCGTAATACTATTCTAGGTGAAATATTGAGTTAGCCGTTTTTAAAAATCGGCTCAAAACGAGCCGTTTAACAAAAGTACCCCATACCCCCTATTTTGAGGCCAGGTTTTATATTAATATATTATACTTTTCTAATTAAAATTTGCAAATTCTGAACAATTATTCTGAATTTCATATTTTGTCATTTATTATGTAGAAATAATGAAGGCAAAACAATACAAAACATTTCTGAGGATAATATTTTTTTAATACAAAATGTTTATCCATTTATTAGAATAATAAATATTTTCGATTATCGATATAAAAAATTCGCATCTCAAGAATTACAAGTGATAAAAAAGTAATTCATACACTGCCTCAATTGATAATAGTTTTTAACCACACATGGCAATATAATTCTTAGCATAAAACTTATATACCGTTGTGTCACCATTTTAGACAATGTTTTAAAGAATGGACGAATAAGGAAAAATTTGAGGTTTAACCAAATCAATAATTCTTGAAGAAGAGAATATTAATGACTAACCCAATTTATAAACCTATATGGTTGTTAACTTCCTCTCAGATGTCATTATGAAAGATATAAGTAATCGAGAAAATTATTGTGGGATTATAAATTTCTAAAAGATAATCTTGCATTTTTAATGATATATAAACGACAAGACAGTTGAACATTATTGTTCATTTAAATTATGCGATCAAATGCTCTCAGCAGCAGGAGTAATAATCTTAAATTATAATAGCCAACAAAAATAGATGCTGGTTAATTTGCAGTCATAGTCATGACACTCACGATGTAAACTCATATCATAATTTATTATGTTAGATAAATTGATAAAACAAAAACACTAAAAATCTTTAGAAGAAATAATTATGCAAATATATTAAAGCCTTTAGTTATTTACACGGAAGGATGCCATATTAGAAATGAATCATTTAGTAACTAGAAAATAAGGACCAGAGTGGTATGATGATTTCAATTAAGATTTTATATATTGTTGCCGCACCACAGCGTCTACATGAGCGGGAGGGGTAGGAACAGTTTGCATCCTATTTTTCTGAGGGGGTAGGGGGTAAGCTGTTTTAATGGGTAGGATAAATTTTTTGGCGGGTTATCTATTAAATTTTGAGATGAAATAGGACAAAATTTAATGCTGTAAAAATTAATACTTTTATTATAGTATTATTATAATACAATTCATCGACCAAATAGATTGCAAACAATAATACACATTGTTTTCCAAATAAACTATCCTTTTAAATGTAATTTAAAAGGTTTAGATATTTCAGCAAGCTCATAATGCCATAATAATTAATTCATTGTAAATAATGGAGGTTTTAATTGAATGTATTATCTAAAAAATATTCACAAAATATCGATAGTTGGTAGTAGAGATAGATTAATTTAAGTTATCCTTTATAAATTCTTTGAAATGAGTATCAATAAATAAATAGGTGAAAATAACAATAAAGAGACAAAGCCGCCGAAGGCGGCGGGAATTTTTTAGGGGGGTAGGCAAAAATTTTTGAAGGGGGTTTGCATCCAGTAAAAATTTTATCATGTAGACGCTGAGTTGGTATATTATTTTAAAATAATATTATTTGTAATAATATCAAAATACGTATTAAAAATTTAACTCAAAACTGTTTTTCAAATAAGAAAAAAAATAGCTTTCCTAAAAAACGTTAAAAAAGGGAGAAGTAAATAAAGATAACTAATAAGGATTACATCCATTGTGGGATGATTAATAAGATGTAATTTTAATAATATATTTTTATTGTATATAAACAGATAGCGTTAAAAAATTGAATGGAAATCGTCACTTATATTTATCATCAAAAGCATTGATCAGTAAAGTTCTTTATAATACTAACTGTGATATATTTTATAACTTTCAAATATGTCTTTAAAAGTAGCATCTTACCTATTATTTTGTTAACCAATTCTAAATAATAAAGGATTATCAGCTATAATATGTCTGTCTAACTTTTTATAAAGAAATTTAATACACTTCCTTGAACCTTATAAATATTTTTAGGAAGAGGCATGGTAAATTAAATTTAAAAATGGATTAGTGATTTTGAACTCGGATTATTAAATTTGTTAATTATCAATTATAAATTATTTATTTATTTAACATATATTTTTTTTATAAATTTAAAATTATAATAACTAACTATTTATAAAAATATATATAATTACTAAATAAAAATAAAATATATATAAGTATCGAAGGCTCTAAAAAGAGCTAAATTTAGTAATGAATGTGTTCCTAAAAAACAAGTATAATTATGTTTGTTGAATTTTTGTTCTAGAAATATAGATTCGCGGTATTCGTTTGTTATTTTAAATATTTTTTTTTTAAATTTTTTAAAAAAAGTATGTTGACTGGGAAAAATGCAGTTAATTGATATGACTATCGGCTGAAATATAAATTTATTGTGTTTTGAATATTTATTAATTTTTTATTTTCCCCGATAGTTAGAAGGTTAGAAATAATTGGGGGAGGAAAGAAAGAGACGCAGGTTGCGTCTTAAATAAAGGATTTGCCTTTGAACCAGGGTGTACAGGTTAAATCGTCGTGTTTAAGACCATTTTGTAATGTAAGTTTAATTGTCAAGTATGTTGGAAATTTTTGCCTTATTAAATGCGTTATGGAAGATTTTTTTGATTTCTTTATGACAGAGATAGCGACCTTGATTACGGGTGCAGTTAAGGCTATGTAAAGCGTTAGGATGTACCGGTAAGTTACATTGGTGGCATGTGTGTGGTTATGTAAGTGGACATCTTAGTCTAAATCCTATAGTAACTCTCAGTTGTTCGTTGATTAAGAGATTATCTAAGGTTAGGGTTATAAAATAATTTAAATAATAAAAATCAATTAGGCTTCAACTGGTAATGCTAAATTGATATTTTGACATTATGATTGATATCCCAATTTCAACAGAGATTGTGTAAGCTGACATAGTGAAATATAATTTATATGTATTAATTTAATCTAATAATTATAATAGCACTCATTTAATAAAGACTTAGAGATTCTTATTAATTTTTAATTAATAAAATCAAATCTATATATAATACTTAATAGAATTATAAAATAAAATCGTTCAGGGGACTATCAAAAAAATTTATTTTTAGTTCAGGGGGATTATAGGGAGCCAATAAAAAAAATTTGCTTCAGAATAAAAATATTATTTAAAAAATAATTATTTTTTAAAAAGTTCGGGTTTAGGTTGAGTAATTATCGATGGTTCGAAGGTTTTGGTTCGCAGCCTTTAAAAAATACTACTATTGTTTAATTCAAATTATATTGTTATTAATTCTTCTCTCTATGGAAGAATTTTAATGATATGTATTAATCTTTCCCGCACTTTAATGGACCAATCACAGAATTAGACGAAACTTTTGGTTGAATAAAATGCTTTAGCACGGCTTTTTTTAAGCACATGATATATTTTATTCTATTAATAGTTGCAATTATTTATGAGTTCAATAAAATTATTATAATAACTGGAAGATTGCCTAATCATTGTTATAATTATACTTGTTATAATGGATTTTGCTTCTTCAATACATGTATATGCAATCCTGGATGGACTGGATTGTATTGTGAAACTTGTTTTGGACGTATCAAGTTTTAATAGCACTTAAAAATATTCCCTTTATATCATATTTAGAATTACTAAAAACAAGGGTTATATTTCAGATGGCACTGGAAATTATAAGTTGATGTCTAACTGTACGTGGGTTATAACTAATAAAAATGATAGGAATTATAAGAATAGTCATATTATACCTATTCGGCTTAGATTAAACTCCTTTTCAACAGAATGTGGTTGGGATTATTTGTATATACATGATGGAGATTCTATATATTCCCCTTTAATTGGATCCTTTAGGTATCAATATTAATTAAAAACATTACTGTATTAAAATATATATTTATATCTAACTTTAAAACTAATGCATTTCTCTATAACTACTTTACTACATTATATTTGCTTACGAATATAATTTAAGTGGATCAAAATCATACCGAAACATTAGAAATTTTCCTGATTTAGTGGCCAATAGTGGAACAGCATACATACACTTTTTCAGTGATGATTCATATGTAAAATCTGGATTCAACATATCATACTGGTATTTATTTTTCAATTGTTAACTCCATTTATAAAATTTAAGGAATGGAAATGAATGCATATTATCCAATTGTTCTGGAAATGGAATTTGTTCAAATGGAAATTGTGATTGTAATAAAGGGTGGAAAGGGAAAGATTGTGAAATATCATGCACTTTACACCCAGAATGTTATTATATGTACCCCAATATAACAACCATTAATATTTCTTCAGGTATTAAATTAACATAAATTTTGATATAATTTAATATAAAGTCCTTTATAATTAGAGCTACACTGATAAATTATTTTTACTGCATTTGATGTTGCTCTTAAAAGACAACATCATTACAGGTGTTGCTTTAATAATGCTATTGGGTAATTCCATTACACCACCAGCGATTTGGCTGACTATCTCAAAAATGAATGGAACTTGGCACGTTAGTTATTTATGTTGTAAATGTTAATAAAATCAAAATTTTAGAGTGCTATAAACCAAATCCAAAGATATACGCTTTCAAAGTCGAAAATCACGAAGTGCATGATTTCATTAAATCTTGTTATTTTAAAAATACTTAAGATAGAGTTACAAATTATATATCATTTTATAGCCCTTAAAATTTTACTTTGGAAAATATTTAAAAAAAATTAAAAAAATTTCAAGTGTTTTCTTATTTCCGATAAAAATAAAAAATTAACATTGTTAGAAAGGGATTTTTTTTGGGTGCTAATATTCACTAAAAATGTTTATTACATATATATTAAACGATTTAATAAAAAATCTCGATAGCCATTTTTGTTTATTTAATTTTATTTGAATTTTTATAAATAAATAAATGTAATATAGATGGCGTTATATTAAAAATTTTATATAATATATATTTTTTAATAAAAATATGAATAGTATTGTGATTAAAATTAAAAAATAAATTAAGTATAACCAAGAATGATGTCTGGGGGCAATATGTAAGCAGGCAATACAGATATGATTTTATTAGGATGCTATATTGTAAAATAAACATATTTTAAAATTATATACACAAAAATATAAAAATAAAAACCTCTTGTTTTAATCTTATCCCACATTGTGCTTATTAATTGAATTTCTTGAGATGATAATTTGTAGGTATATCCTGTTACTGTAATAGGATCTACTATTGTTATTATTTGATTAATGGGTAACCATATCTTTTCCTCAATTGTGGGGTAAAAGAAGGATGGTGATGGTTCATGGGGATGTAAAAAGGAAATTTATATATATCTCCTAAGTAATTTCATTCTTTTTTAGTACTATGGCTAAACACCAAAAATCGTCATAAACACATGTTATGAATCCTTTAATATTGGCAAAAGATAATATTGTTAATTTGAAAGTCCTCTGCATATGAATATACTTTTAATTTAAGCCTTCTTAAACTCAAAGGAAATACAGCATGTATTTCTCGAGTTCCTGGAATGGGACGAGCTAAATTGAATCTTTCTCAAGTTTAATTTCTTGTAAATTGTATTGTTTGTTGGTTATATATGTAAAATTTACTGATGGCATGTTTTGTTTTGCAAAATGATATAAATCAACTAGCGTTAAAATGTGTTCAGAACTGATGCGCTGAAGGCTAGAACGTGCTGCTAATCTTTTTAATGCTTCGCCAAGGCCATCACATGGACCCTCCATAGGATGTAGCTGAAAAATGCCATTTAGCTGCTACACCAAAATCTGATTCATGATAACACAGATTTATAAAAAAATATCTGTTTTTATATTGTGCAGCTGATCTATCAGAGCAATTTTGTTTGGCTTTTTGCTGAATTGATTGGTCAAAAATTTTATCAATTTAGTCTGGTATAAATGTACTGCAATAACAACATGTTGAAGTGACTCTGATATTACAATATAATTAAGATTTTCTATATTGCCATTATTATAATATGCTATCATAGGATGGATAGTGGCTTGATTATTATTCCAATGGAATCCTTGAACAGTGTCTTGGATTATAAATGCATAATTTTTAGAGAAATCACAAATTATCATAAATTCATTTGGTTGTAAAAAATGTTTAAGTTTTGAAATATATGATTGGTAGCGATGATAGGAATAAAAAATAAGCTGATAAAATCGTTATTTTCAAATAATAACGATAGTAGATCCACAACAATGAAAGGATATATCTACAAATTATGGCCTTAGGATTAATAAGTGCAAAATTATAATAGTTTGAATATAAAATTTTAAAATATGTTTATTTTACAATATAACGTCAATAAAATAATATATGTATGGGCTGCCTGCTTACATATCGCCCCAGGACATCATTCTTGGTTATACTCAATTGATTTTTTAATTTTATGTAATCACAATATTATTCATATTTTTATTATAAATTTTTTAATATAAAGCCATCTATATTACATTTTTTTATTTATAAAAATAATAAAAATTCAAAGAAAATAAAAAAAATAAAAATGGCTATCGAGATTTTTTATTAAATCGTTTAATATATAGGTAATAAACATTTTTAGTGAATATTAGCACCCAAAAAAATCCCTTCCTAACAATGTTAATTTTTTTATTTTCACCGGAAATAAGAAAACACTTGAAATTTTTTAATTTTCTTTAATATTTTCCAACGTATAATTTTCTTTAATATTTTCCAACGTAAAATTTTAAGGGCTATAATATGATATATAATTTGTAACTCTATCTTAAGTAATTTTTAAAATAACAAGATTTAATGAAATCACTTTGAAGGCGTATATCTTTGGATCTGGTTGAGCTAGCAATCTAAAATTTTGATTATATTAACATTTACAACATAAATAACTAATATGCCAAGTTTCATTCATTTTTGAGATGGTCGGCCGAAAATCTCGTTTTTTTGGTCGATTTGACATGGAATCACCCTATTACGTTGATTTTACAAAAGTAATTTCATTCATTTCCATTTTTTAAAGTTCCTTATTTCTATAAAAATAAACAATTTTATTGACAAGTTATTCAGAGTTTATAAGATCATTTATCTCCCAGTACCACCTAAAAAAATATGTAGGGGCATGCTAAGATTTTTTTATTATTATATGAAATTTGAGGTAAATTATCTTTTGGGAAATTTTTATATATGTGTTTCATATAAAATACATCATATTATATAATAGCTATTTAATATGTGTCTAATAATATATATTGTCAATTATATATAGAATAAAAAATAACATAATTTTTAAAAATGCAATTCATAATGTAAAAATAATTATATTTCTTTATTCACTCTTTTGATCAATAATATTTTTTCACATATCCACCAACATACCTAATGTTTGCAGTGGTCCAATATGATCTGACATCCAGTATTTTAATAAAAACTTGACTGTTAGACCCATATCAGGTCAATGCAGCAAAATTTTATCGCGAAGCAATTTTATAGCGTAGGTAATATCGCAAAACCAATTCCGTGAAACATTAAAATATCGTTAATTTATTTTCGAACTGCGAATATATCTTAGCGAAGACATATCGCGAGCCTATTATTGCGAAACTTTTATCTCCAACACTTTATAGCGAATTTTCTACCCCAAATGTATTTACTCGAAACCATTATAGCTAGACACCGCAAAAATTGCTAATTCAATTATTTAAATGAAAACAACATATTCAATATCAATTTACCAATCAAAGTTCCTTAAATCATAACATGCATATAAAATGAGATAATTCAAAATTGAGCCTAACATCACATTAGTCCACAGATAGGTCAAGACAAGGGTGGGGGGGGTGTTAAAAACATTTTCTAAATTTTGACAAGAGTATTTAAATGATGGATAATAAAAAATAAATATAAAAAGTATCTATGATTTTAATTCTGAGATTAAATAGGTAACTTATTCAATTTTCTCATTTTGTAAATTGCAAAATTTTTTAGACCAGGCCATACCTGCCATATTTTAAAAGTGAGGTGGGATTTTCAATGATTAAAATGATAAAAAGCTGGATTGAGCGCTACGACTGCAATTATCTTTTATATATAAATATAAGTGAATTTTTTTTGTCAAATTATGAACTTATAAATCTAAATTTGAATATTATGCATATTTATAAAGTCAAAATATAGAAAAATTATATGCAAATCTACATATTTATCGGAAGAAAATATATTTTTTAAAAAAGTTTATTATATATGAAAATAAATTTCATTAACTATTCGCAATTCATGTCAAATTTTGCTTTACCATTAATTCGGCTTCTAATAAATCAAACCATTAATTCGGCCTCTAATAAATCAAATGAGACCAAAGAACCATTTTTTCACTTAGTCATATTCATTAAACTTATCTCTGAGGCAGCATTTGAATGCAGAATTAAAATATATCATTTCATTACACATTTTTTAGGCTTATATTTACATTTTTATTTAATTCTTTCAAAATTTTCGAACTTGATCGTATATATTTATATATAGTATTTATTATTTTATCGAAATTAAAATATATCTATAATCAATAAATCATATCTTTTCAATATAGATAATAGTTTGATAATTCTGAGTGATTTCTTTTTATGCTTCAACTTCTCTATCAGAACAGTGGCGTAAACAGGATATATATTTTAATTTCATCGGTGTTAAATTTGGCGGCTGAATATTTCTACATACTAATTGTAAATTATATCAATATTTCTTACTTTATTGGTACCAATTGAATACTTAAACCAGTATAGTAGCCAGTAAAAAGAAAAACTATTAGTTACAAAATTTTAGCAAATCTATGATTTAAGCCACTATTCCCCCTAACCTATTCTCCCACAACTTCCACACTATCGAACTCTCACCCCTCACTCATCTCGGCTCTCCAGTTGGTGGTTTGGAATCCATCAATCACTTCTTCACGAACGCATCGTCCACCTTACTTCATTCAAAAACATCTCTAAGTTTCTCCTTCTTCAAGCTTTTTTTCTCCTCAAAAACTTTTACTACATTCTTAAAATTCTTTATGCCCTTCTATCCACTTTAACTTTCAAATTCTCCTACTCATTAAAATCATTCGATTTCCGTCAAATCTCTTGCTGAAGATATCCTTAATCTCCGCTTTAACCATAATTCATGGTTCCAAGCATCACTTTCATGCAAGCTTGGTGGTATCGGCTTACGCTCACCCTTAACTCTTTCCATTAGTGGTTTCATCACCTCCCGTCTTACATCTGACTCACATATTAGCCATCTTTCTAACTTCCCTGACCCCTAATTAGATGAAGCCCAGACCAGCCTTCACGACGACGATCTTACAGTTTTTCACCAATTGAACCAAGGATCCGGTTACGAGTTTCTGGAAACCATACCCTCTAATAACCTTGATTTGTTGCTTTCCGCAGACAAGCTAAGATTTGCTATTTGACTACAGCTCAATTGCGATATTGTTCTACCGTACCAATGTAAACATTGCGAAACCAGTGTCGATAGCAAGGGTAGACATTGTCGCTTTCGAGGCCGTTTTTCACGGCACACCAAATGCAACGACATCATACTACGCACCCTCATCAACAGGCATTCCATCAAGACTTGAACCAACCCGAGTTTTTAGAACCGATGGAAAACGTCCTCATGAAATGTCCCAGAATCCTTGGTCAAAGGATCAGCTCCTGGTTTAGGATTTCACCTGCATTGACCCAAATGCACCATCTAACCACAACGTCGATGCACCCGTCATCTCATAGTTTGATTATTATCACACGTCTGTCTTATATAAAATTCAAAATACGGTTGAGATATAATTTTAAAATATTCAGATACCTGCAAAATATTTTATTATTTCAGATTATTATTCAATCAAAAAATGTTAATACGAATTTATTTGATAAAATAAAATGAGGAATAAGATAATTATGTAAATAATTGGTATTCACGATTCAAGTTGGAAGTCTTAAGTAATAAAATATAAATAACAGAACAAATATCTTAAATAATAATAATTAATTTGAAATATTCGTCCTCTAGTCAAATTAAATTGACGATTTTAGTTTATTGAAAAATTCGTCCTCTAGTCGACTCAACTATATAATTTGTATTCCTAAATCAAGTTGGATGTCTAAAGTAAAAAAATGTAAATAACAGAACAAATATCTTAAATAATAATTAATTAGAAGTTCATCCTCTAGTCGACTTAAATTGACGACTCAAAAGTTCAAAGAACTATTCGTCCTCTAGTCGACAACTATATATTTTGTATTCACGACACAGGTTGGAAGTCTTAAAATGTAAATAACAGAACAAATAGCTTAAATAATAATATCTATTTTGAAATATTCGTCCTCTAGTCGATCAAGTTCATAGAACTATTGATTAGTCGACACAACTAAATAATTTATATTAACGACTCATGAAAGTCTAAAGTAAAAAATGTAAAAAACAAAAAATATTTTAAATAATAACTAATTTGAAATATTCGTCCTCTAGTCGACTCAAGTTCATAGAACTATTGGTCCTCTAGTCGACACAACTATAAAATTTATAATAACTTAACGAGTCATGAAGGTCTAAAGTAGGAAATGTAAAATACAAAAAATATCTTAATTAATAATACCAAATTTCAAATATTCGTCCTCTAGTCGACTCAAGTAGACGGCTTAAGTTAATAGAAATATTCATCCTCTAGTCGACTCATTTATATAATTCTTTTCAGTTTTCACAATTCAAATCAGAAGTCTAAAGTAAAAAAATGTAAAAAACAGAACAAATATTTTAAATAAATAATGATTAATTTGAAATATTCGTCCTCTAGTAGACTTAAATTGACAACTCAAGTTCAGAGAACTATTCGTCCTCTAGTCGACAACTATATATTTTGTATTCACAACTCAAGTTGGAGGTCTATAAAGTAAAAAGTAAATAAGAACAAATATCTTAAATAATAATAACAAATTTCAAATATTCGTCCTCTAGTCGACTCAAGTTCATAGAACTATTGGTCCTCTAGCCGACACAACTATATAATTTATATTAACTTAACGATAAAGGTCTAAAGTAGGAAATGTAAAATACAAAAAATATCTTAATTAATAATACCAAATTTGAAATATTCGTCCTCTAGTCGATGACTTAAGTTCATAGAAATATTCGTCCTCTAGTCGACTCAACTATATAATTATATTCACGAGTCACGACTCAAGTTGGAAGTCGAAAATAGTAAAATATAAAAACTATTTTAATAAATAATAATAGATCTGAAATATTCGTCCTCTAGTCGACGACTTAAGTTCATAAAATATTCGTTCTCTAGTCGACGACTCAAGTTCATAAAATATTCGTCCTCTAGTCGACGACTCAAGTTCATAAAATATTCGTCCTCTAGTCGACTAGAGGACGAATATTTTATGAACTTGAGTTGATGACTTGAGTCGACTTGAGTTCATGACTTGAGTCGACTTGAGTTCATGACTTGAGTCGACTTGAGTTCATGACTTGAGTCGACTTGAGTTCATGACTTGAGTCGACTTGAGTTCATGACCTGAGTTTATAACTCAAGTCAGTTTGGGTCGATTTTTTTGACCCAAAACTTGACTCAGTTTTCGACTCAGTCGACTCGACTCAGTCGATTAACAACATTATCAGTAAGTATTCAAATAAAGTTCTATGACCGGAGGAAAAAAATTAGCAGCATATCATTTTTTTATCAAAAAACATCAAATAAATAAATCTATTTTCATAATATAATAATTTAAATAAAAAATATTAAATCATATAAATATGTTTATTTGTGGATAATAATAAAATTTAACATTAAATATAAATAAAATAAATTATTTTACTACAAATAAATAAATGCTAGACATATTCCGGAACGCTGATGGACGATTAGCCGATGCAGAATTTTTGATTAATTTAGTTTTAGCCTATTTTTAGGCTAAGCCACCGATATTTAGGCTAATCCTAATTATGCTTAGGGTTAGTTTTTAGCCGATTACGCAACACTAGATATATAAATTAGTTTTATTTTATAACCAAATATCTATCACATATTATATATATCAAGAATTCATTAGCAAATTAATATATGCAATATTATTTTTTATCCACCTATTAAATTATTGTAATGATTTAATATTATTATAAAATATTAGGTAGTTGTATTCATTTTCAAAAATATCAAAATAGCATTTGCAGATTTTTTACGCCTAAATGTTTGAGGAAAATCTTTGAAGATCAATAAGTGAAGATTTTTATAGAGAAATTAAAAAAAATTTTTTGTAAAAAAATCGTGATTGTGAGGACATTATTTAAGATTTTTAAGACCAGATGGTATAACATAACACTCATATTCAAGGGAGGAAGAGAATTAGCTTGGGATTATACATATATTGATGTATTTGTTCCCGGCAATTATCTTCCGAACATCATTATTCGAACGCAAATGCCAAAATTTAAATACTTCCTAGCCCGACCCGTAATTTTTATTTATTTTTTATCCCGTGTCTGGTCCACATAGTTCTTATTTATTTTTAGGCTTAAGTCCTACACATTCCGAATTTTTATTTTATTATTTTATTTTGATATGATATGGTATAATATGATAAAACAAGAGTAAACAACATTATTTTTAAAATATTTTTCAAACCCTAGCCGATTTTTAATTTTTTAGGCCTAGTCCGGCTCTACCCAAAGTATATAAAAAAAATTGTGCTTAAACCCGGGTTCAATAGAGTAATTCTTTGTATTGTATTCAAATGTCCAACTGTAATTTGATTTCTGGAATATGAAAAATAAAATACTCAAAATATAGGTATTTCATAGTAATAATTATATTTTTAAATCTAAGAATACAAAGTTGATAGCAATTACCCTTTTATAGTGAGTTTATCAAATGGACCTACAAAGGCTGCTCATTCACTGACAGACGATAATATGGGAGGCTTGTATGTAATTGGAGGTTATAATTTTGATGCTCAAATTTTTCCATTTTATCGACGTAACTCACCATTTAAAAGATCTGATACTTATATTTATCGGTAAATTTTAGTTTATTAGTGAAATATATTACTTATATATATTAAAATGAGTGTTTAGAACCTAGATACTTATTCTGGTTCTTAATATCTATAAGATATTTGTTCACACTAAAAAATTTACAAAAATGTGAGGCGGTTTTGTTTCAAACTGAAAAAAAATGTAAACAATAAATTAATTTCTAATTCAATCTATATCTAATAAATAAGCAAAATACATATTGACTGATTCACATAATCAGTCAAACATTATATGGTTTGCTTAAACATTCAAGAAAATTACGTGTAGGCCGAAATTGTTTTTGGGAAAAATCTCAATAATTATATATCTCATTTATTTTAATTAAAAAGAAACACTTACAACCTTTATCTAAATTTTATGAAACAAATCGAATATATCCAAATTATATAAAAAAATGAATAGTACGGTTAAGTTTATGTCTTTTTACAGCAGGATAGATGAAAATAAGATCTACTATGACATTTTAAATGAAATTTGAAATATTTACACTTAGGAGGAGCACAGGTTGTTACCATGCAATCGATTTTTATGAACTCTTTATCCACACATTAAACGAACCTATTTTAACAAAATTATTTTTTAAAATATATTTTATTTATTATTATTCCATTCATTATACCTCTCATGTTATTTTTTCTACCTTAATTTTCGAGGATTGAATTTTATATATTTATCAAATTGATATGTAAATATTATGGAGATTATATCGTAGAAATAGATTGTTTTTATATCTATATGTTGCAATTTTTTTGATGTAATTTAATTCCCATAGTAATTATTAAAATGAATTAAAACATTTAGATCATTAATAATCGAATATTTTATATTTCAACTTTAATGCCAAATCATATAGGTATATTTAATAATATTTAAAAAGATTCGACACATCCACTTTAAAATGGACCCCCATTTATCAGCAAATTGCTAATATGAAAAATCCATTATTAGGTCATAGCGCTATATTTCACAAGGTTATAAATTTAAATTCATTTTATAATTTAATCTTACATGCATCATATTTTTAAAGGGTAAAATTTTTGTGTTTGGAGGTCACGAAATGAATGGAAACATATTAAATGATAATTTGAGCCCTCTTCAAATATATGACTTGAAAACTAAGCGTTGGATGACTAATAGTTATAACCATTATGGTGATAGAGGTGACAGTTATAATATTACTACAATTTTTGACGATGTGTCCAAGTCTTATTTTGAATCTATCCAAAATCAATATAACCAAAAATATAATTTTAGTAATAATTACTTTTCAAACTTACAAAAACATGAGCCTATTCCGGTAACGGGACATACCTCACATCTAGTCTATCTTACCCGAAATGAGTATTTGATGGTTGTAATTTTTGGGTACAATCCTATTTATGGTTTTGTACCATATGTACAAGAGTATAATATAGGTAAAATATTTCCAATTTATAGCAAACTAATATGCCATAATTTTTATAATTCTATTAAACTAAATTCACACACAGATGACCAAAAATGGGCAATATATTACCCAAATAGTATGGGCCCCATTATAATGGGTAGAGCTGGACATTCAAGTATTTACGACAAAGTTAAAAATCTGATTTATATCTTGGGTGGTGTATCCAACTCATATTATAGCTCTTTAACTACGTCATCGTCAGAATTTTATGTTTATGATCCTTTGCTTCGAATTTGGTAAACTTTAAACAATATTTTTCACATCGCTTCACTATAATATAAGAAACAAAATTATATTTAAAATTTTACCATTTGTAAGGAAAATCTTGGAATCCAGTCCATACAAATTATATATGCATCAATCGATATCGTTATTCGGCTTAATCTTAGTTTATGGTGGTCAGGCTCAATATAAATTTAATCAATCTAGATTTGCATGTCAATCATCTATCTTTCTGGCTTATGATACATGTAGAACTATATTATTTTTATACTGAAAGATAGATTTGCAGACGTAGCTGGGTAGGAGGCAGGGACCTTTCGCACAGGCAATTGTGAAAGCTTTAGTAAATATTATTTGAATCCACCTTCTCCTCATTCTTTTTGAAATATGAAAACAATAAGTCCTAAGAATTTTTTTTGGAATAAGTGGATTTCGAAAAAATAATATTAATAAAATAGAACCAAAATTTTTTAAAAAAGAACTTAACCAAACCTACATTAAACGGGTCTGGGTAATTCCATATCATATTGATATCTTTCCGGCCAGACCTTTTAATTTTGATAAAATTTTACATACTGAGAAACATCATTAGAATCATAGAATCCAAAATTTTAACATTCTGGAGATCAATGGTCAAAAGTGTTAAAAATGATCTTTTTTCGAAAAATACTATTTTTAAAAATTGAGATGGTTAAAAAATAATGATGCTAAGAATTAAAATTATATGTCCTTTTGTGTAACTATTAAAGACCTTACATTATCTTTTTTCGAAAAATACGATTTTTAAAAATTGAGATGGATAAAAAATAATGATGCTAAGAATTAAAATTATATGTCCTTTTGTGTAACTATTAAAACCTTTCATTAAATATTGAGGATTTTTATAAAATAATAATCTCGCGGTTTAAGTTATAAATTTTGAACCTAAAAACTTCAGGTGTTTCGTTTTCCGAATTTCTTTAATTTTGATATTTTATTATTCATTTATATTATATCTATAAGTAAATAAAATTTAAATTTGGGACAGTCATGGGTACGATTTTAAAATAAAAATGAATATTTTTCCCAAAATAGATGGCGTTCCTATATAAAATAACACATTTTTGCTAAAATTATTAATTTTTTTGAATTTTTTCCATTTTTAAACACTGATAATATTTTTTAGCATTAATATCATTTTAGCTGCTTCGAAAAATTATTTTATTAATTTTGCAAATAAATTAGTAAAATTAAATTTACGAAAGATACTACTTATTTTCGTATTTTCATGAAATTTAGGTTTTTTGACGTCTTGATAATTTATTTTTGCAATAAATAATAAATACCCTCATTCCTCTTTGATAGACTCAATTTTAAATTATGACTTTTTGATATGAAAAGAGATATGGCGTGGCTGCATAAAAAACAATTCTCGTCCTTTAGGATGGAAAAATTTGTTTTGATTTCATTCCTTATTTACATCGACTTTTGCACAAATTCTAATCTCCAATCGTCTTCATACAACCCTGGCGATACTTATTAATTTTAGACAAGGGTGTCACCTCACTTCAGTTTCCAAAGCTCAATTAGTGCTAAAAATTTAGTTTATAACCAATTTGTTATAAGTTTAAATTCAAATAATTTTTTCTATCTACGAATCATGAAAAAATGTTTTTATTGCATATCAAAACATAGACTTTGAAAGGAAAATAGGTTCTTACGTCTACAGCAAATACGAGCATATTCTCCTATTATAGTATCTATTGAGATGTCATGGCTAGGCCCAAACCGGCTTTTGTACATTTTCTATTTGTTTGGTTCTTCCTTATAAAAATTTTTATAAAGGAAAACGACATAACTTCGGTCCACCTTGGCCTGTATAAATATTATACACCATTTAACCGATCTTCGCATCGACCACTAATCACTTTTATAGAAAATTAGACATGCGAGAAAGGAGAACTATTTAAATTTTTTTGTACAATTGTTAAATGCACATAAATTTTGATATATTTTATCGCAGACAATGATATTCACATCCAGGGTTTACCGTTGTATTCAAATAGGAACTCTTAGTATGAGAACACAAAATACATAAACAACAGTTTTTATTTATTTTCTAGTTCAATTCGAACATCATATAAAGTAATAATAAAAAAATGTCAATACCACAATTTTTCCATTCCTTCGAACATATTCCCATTTAAAACGCAAGTTCCAACTAATTATGCACATAATATTTTAAAAATTTTCATTAATATTTTTTACATCAATAAACAACTTTTTTTTGTGCTTTCAAGTTTACGTAATGCTGGCCTTTTTAGGAAAGAAAATTACTTAATAGGCCGAAATTTTTTTTCCAATCTCGAACGAATTTTTTTTCAATTATCTCGAAAAGCCCTATCCTAAATATGACCGCCCAGCAATAATATATTAAAATATAAAAAAATTTATATTTTTTTAATTGCAAAAATATTTTACAAATAAAAAGTATTGGAGCCTAGTTTCTTACATGAATTTTAAAATATATCAAGTTATCAGAAGCCTGCAGAATACCATTCATTTATTGATTTTTCAAGAAAATAAATTTCCTCCTAGCAGGTCTGGATTTTTTTTTAAAATATTTTTTCGACCGTGGGTTTTATATTTTCAGGCTCGGCCTGGATTATTTTTAAAATTTTTATAGCTAATAGTTTTAAAATATACGGCCCAATTTTTTAAAATAAATTTAGGCCTGGCGCTTAAGTATTTTAAGAAAAATTTTAAGCCTGGCTCGGCCCAGGTTTAAAAAAATTAATAATATTAGGCCAGACCCAACTCAAACCGAATTATTTTTTTAAAAATAGATCCGCCGGGATTTGCAAGTCTCTAATTTGAATATTCTTTTCTATAAAAAATCATAACCTTTTTTATTAAAAAATAAGTTTTAGATAATATTTTTATTTTAAGATGCACAAAATTATTTAAAAAAAATAATTTATTTAAAAATTTTTTTTAATTATATGGAATAAATTATAAGCTTAGTGTAAAAATTATATTTTTTAATAAATGCTCGTTTTAAATGGGAATTAGTTCGTAAGAAGAGTAAAAATAGGCGTAACACATTTTTTATTATATTTTTCTATGATGTTTTAGTGTTGTTAAACGGCTCATTTTGAGTTGATTTTTAAAAACGGCTAACCCAATATTTTATTAGGAAACATATTGTGCAAGCCTTAAGATTTTGATCATAGGTGGCACAAAGTTTGAACATCTATTAGCCAAATCTCGACGCTTAGATAATATTTTTATGGCTAAAATATTGAGTTAGCCTTTTTAAAAATTGGCTAAAATCGAGCCGTATAACAACACTAGTTATAATAGAATCGGAACCAAATATAAATAAATGTTGTTAACATATTTTATACTCTCATAATAAGAGCTTCTATTCGAAAACAACGGCAAACCCTGTAAATGGAATAACTTAACAAACGTTCAAACACTTAGATATTAATTTTAATAAAATAAATATAAAACTTTAATTTCAATATTCAATTGAATAATTAAATTTCGTTAGCAAGCAATATCTCCATTTTTAAATAAGAGACTGTTGCTGGAAATGTGTCTCATATCCTCTATCATCTAATAAAAGAATCACACCTCATCGAACTTTATAATGGGCTCTATGTTTTTATTCTGAATCCTTATTTACCTTATATATCATTAAATTTATTGTGATGAACAGAAGTTTTAAAAAATAAACTATATATATATGTTGTATTCCATATTAAATCAACCAAAAAAAGTCGATTCTCAACCCGACCCCCTTCGATTTTTTTAAAAATTTGTATGTTGGTAGTATATACACTAACTAATAAAAATGTAAAATTTTACTTTTCAAATCGGCTTACTTCATGAGATATGGCCATCTTTAGAAACGCGAAAATTCCAAAATACTGTATATTTAATTTTAAATATCTCAAAAAGTAATTAAGCTGAAGGCATGATTTAAATTTTATTAAGTAGCTCTAGAATAGCCCTTTAATAAGATATAAAAATTATTTTATTAATAAAAGTCTATTACCAAAAACCGGAAATAGCTATAAAATAAAAACTGCTCTTTTTTTTCTTTCAAATTTTTTTTACAAATAGACATTATATTTCTTAATATTTGTACAAAATTTTAGATTGGGACCATTACTGGGCCAATAGTTATTACGCTTTAAATATAAATAGTATGGCTTAAATCCTAAATTATACCAAATATATAGTATAATTTACGAAACAAATAAAAAGAAAATTCCTTTATGATCGGGCCGATTATATTTTTTTTATAAATGTTTCGGGCTGTGAGCCCACTAGTAGACATTATGTCATATTTAACATATAAGTTTAGCTATTTTATTTTAGAGAGAAAATAATTGTAAAAATATTTATAACTTTATTTAGCTAATTATTTATATTACATGAATATCAAATGGAAAATTAATATTGTTATAAACATATTAAATTAAATAATATCATACTTTAAATTATCTAATGTATTAGAATAACGTTTGACTTTCATTTTTCCTTCCATTGGAATAAATAAATGATATTTTTGTGTCCCGGGAAGGCCGTTAAAAATCTATTTTCGAGATTGGTTTCCATTCTTAAATATTCAACGTTGCTGACAAATGTATAATTAATACCCGGGATATTAATTCTCGCATAATTATATAAATCCATAGGAGTTAATATATGATTTTCATAAGGACGTTGCAGGCTTGCTCTAGCAGCCAACTTCTTTGTAATTCCCCCTAAACTATCGCAAGGAGTTTTGCCATGTGCAGTTGCAAAAAAATGCCATTCTGCCTTGATCCCAAAATCATTATAATGGTTGTAGAGGTTTACAAAGTTTTTTTTGTTCTTATACTGGGTAACGGCTCCATCAGAAAAATAATAAATTATTGAAATCTTATCAAATGTTTCTTTCAAGAATTGAATTAAATTTATTTGAAATAAATAAAAGGAACAAATATTGTGTTTTAGACAATCTGATATAACTACGTAACTTATATGTTTGATGGTACCGCTTTCGCAGTAATAAATCATAAATGGATGAAGTGTTGCCTGATTATTAGTCCAATGAAAGCCTTTAGCGTGATCTTGAACTACAAAAGCGTAGTTCTCTGCAAAATCGGATATTATTAGATATTCCCCATCCTTCAAATTCGATTTTAATGACTTAAAAAATGAAGATTGTTCCGAAGAAATAAATGCATGAGGAATTAAGATATTTAATTTATGA